AGGACTACTTTTGGAAGCTGTAAGGTTTTTTTTAAAATCCAGAATCCATATGCACCATCAAAACCACAGCAAAGCAGGTACAAATGTTCAAATCTTCGACGTTTTTCCTCTTCTCTTTTGATTGTTCCTAACACAGAGAGAGATTACATTATGGATTTTAGATTTTCTTCTTCACGGGTCAAGCTGACAATGTCAGCCTTTAATGGATTTTTATGCTCCCCAAAGTGTGAAATGTTGCAGCCTTTTTCGCCTTGGAAGAAAAATGCTGCAATTCAGTGAAGTTTAAAGGTTCCCTGAAGGATGAAATGAAAAAGAAAATATGTTTTTTTATCGCCTTCCGGGAGCATTCAATAGGACTAGATTTTATATCTTTTAAAAAGACGGCCTCTGTTTCTTACTATCCCTGGCCAAAAATACACAGTTGGTTATTAGAATCTACAAGTAGTCCTTGACTTACAGCCATTCATTTAGTAACCATTTAAAGTTATGACGGCAATTGAAAAAAAAGTGATTTATGGTTGTTTTTCACATGATCGTTGCCACATCCCCACGGTCATGTGACCGGATGCTCTGCAACTGACTCATATTTGTGACGATTGCAGTGTCCTGGGGGCACATGATCCCGTTTTGCGGACTTTCGACCAGCAAACTCAATGGGGAAGCCAGATTTGCATAACAACCACGTTACTGACTTAACAACCGCAAAGATTCACTTAAGAACTGTGGTGTGGAAGGTGAAGTGGGACAAAGCTCATCTAACAACCGTCTTGCTCAGCAAGAGAAATTTGGGGCTTAATCATGGTCGTAAGCTGAATACTCAGTTGCACTTAAACGTGGACTCCTTTCCCAATCCATGTCCAGAGATGTAAGGGAGAGGATTGAATGAATGGAGAAAGGAAGATGTTCCCACATAAAAAATATTCAGGGGACATCCAATCCGTTTCCCCATGGAGGATAAAAAATGGAATTTTTTTTTGCAAATCTCAATAACGTCTGCAGGAGAGATGACCTTTGCAGTGGGGCATTGCTCTTTTGCATGAATCCCTAACTGTCTCTAGGTCTCCATAGATGTTTATCTGGTTGAGGTGGATTCAATGGAATACTTGAGAGGAACCGGGCTACCGTTTGGGACCTCTTGAAATTGTCAAAAGGACAAAACTCCAGACATGAAACAAATGGGAATGCAAATCATAAGGAGAAGACGACTCCTTGTGAGTTTATTGTAGCTTTCTTTCTTTCAAAGTCTTCTTTCCTTCCTTCCTTCATACATTTATTTCTTGTATAAATTTTTCTTTCTTTCTTTCTTTCTTTCTTTCTTTCTTTCTTTCTTTCTTTCTTTCTTTCTTTCTTTCTTTCTCTTTTTCTTTCCTGTATAAACTAACTTCCTTCCTTCTTTCCATACGTTTATTTCTTGTATAAATTTTTCTTTCTTTGTTTGTTTCCTTCCTTCCTTCCTTCCTTCCATTTCTTTATTTCTCCTATAAATTTCCTTCCTTCCTTCCTTCCTTCCTTCCTTCCATACATTTATTTCTTGTATATTTTTTTCTTTCTTTCTCTTTCTTTCTCTTTCTTTCTTTCCTGTATAAACTTCCTTCCTTCCTTCCTTCCTTCCTTCCTTCCTTCCTTCCTTCCTTCCTTCCTTCCTTCCTTCCATACATTTCTTTATTTCTTCTATAAATATTTTTCTTTCTTTCTTTCTTTCTTTCTTTCTTTCTTTCTTTCTTTCTTTCTTTCTTTCTTTCTTTCTTTCTTTCCCTATAAACTTCCTTCCTTCCTTCCTTCCTTCCTTCCTTCCTTCCTTCCTTCCTTCCTTCCTTCCTTCCTTCCTTCCTTCCTTCCTTCCTTCCCTGCAAATCTAAACATGAAGCACAAACCCTATTCAAAGGGAAAAAAAGAAAAAAAGTTACCGAAGTAACCAAGGACTTGTGGACAACCTGGAAAGCATAGCAGAATACTACATTTACCAGTAGGTTGGTTCTCCTAAAGATATGCATGCTTAAGAGAGAAACAAACAGGAACAAAACAAAACAACTGGTGTGAAGGTTAGAAAACAGCTAAATGAAAAATGCACAGGTTTTTTTTTATTGTTTGCTTTTTTGCTTCAGGATGGTAATGAAAAGTGCTGAGCCCTGGTCTTGAATCAAGACTTTTATGCTGATGTGAAAGTAAGCCATTGTGTCCAATGCTTTGGATTTATTTTCTGCAGATTTCTGCAAAAACAATTCCAAAACTTCAACACTGACTGATTTCCATTTGTTTTTGTAAGAAAAAAGTTTCTAGCCCTTTTGATCTGGTATATAATTCAATGAAATCATCCCGATTGATTTACTTTCCCTTCCTTCCTTCCTTCCTTCCTTCCTTCCTTCCTTCCTTCCTTCCTTCCTTCCTTCCTTCCTTCCTTCCTTCCTTCCTTCCTTCCTTCTCTTTCCCCTGCACCTAGTGTGCAGAAACAAAAACATACTTAGGATTTCCCCACATTTATTTTAAACAGGTTAATAATTTAGCGATTGTAATCAGTTTGGTTTGGCTGAGCAAGTTACATATAATTAAAAAAAAAAAAAGATTTCCATGTCTCTCAGTGGCACCATTTTGCACAGTGCTCAAAACCCTAAATCTGACTTAACAAAACACAGTTGCTGCGTTCACATAACATGCTCTGTCCTGACAAACCAGTAAACCATAGTATGGTGTAACATGATTATACAACATACTAAGACAATAACTACCTTAGAATGAGGAAAGTTATATCTGCCCCCCCCCCCAAATAATTTTAATCTTGTCTCTCATGTTCTTCAAATCCAACCAGCAAGAAATTTTTGGAAAAAGCTCTTTGACTTACTCTCTCTTTTTAAAAATGGGAATAATTCAGTGTTGGGAGGTTGTTTTAAGGGCAAGCGAGTGGTTATAGACACCTCGCATTTTGTGAAAGTGCTACATAAAAGTTCAAATTCCCGCTTGTATTGCACTCCGTCCAAGAGCTTTCTGATTAATAGTTAGTCCTCGACTTACAATCATTTGTTTAACGCCAGTTAAGCCAAGTTATGACAGTCACACCTCCTCTGCAGCCACATGTTTGCAATTTGGGTGTTTAGCAACCACCTGGCATTTACGATAATTGCAGCAAATTGACGTCACATGATCACAATTTGTGATCTCCCCAGCTGGTTTCCGACAAGCAGAGTCAATTAAGAAAGCTGGACTCACTTAAAGACCATAGTAAAGATGGCTGCAAAATCGGCTCTGGTGACATGATGATTTGTTTAACGACTGCATCACTCAGGGCAGGGGTAGGCAACCTTGGCTCTTTTATGACTCGTGGACTTCAACTCCCAGAATTCCTGAGTCAGCATGGAGGAACTATGGCCCCTTCATGACTTGTGGACTTCAACTCCCAGAATTCCTGAGCCAGTGTGGGGGAACTATGGCCCCTTCATGACTCGTGGACTTCAACTCCCAGAATTCCTGAGCCAGCCATGCTGAGGGGAAAGGAAGAGGTTTCCAAGCTGGGCCATGCTGGCTCAGGAATTCTGGGAGTTGAAGTCCACGAGTCATAAAAGAGCCAACGTTGCCTACCCCTGGCTTAGGGACTGAATCTGATCTCGATAGTAGAAATAAGTTGAGGACTACCTGTAGTTTTTAATTCTGCTGTAATATATTTGTTCAGCTGTTTTCCAGCGCACATACGTTCCAATAAAGTTTGAAATTCTAATATTCACAGGAGTTAAGTTTCAACTCAGGAAAAAAAAAACCCACAGTAATGAAAACACTTTCTTTTTGTAAAGTACATGAGAGAAAAAAAAATCATATTTGCTCTTAAAACATTCTTCCCAATTAAAACCCGCACTCTTATTTGATACTTCCAAAGGTATGGAAGTATTAGGGCAGAATTAATTTTCTCTCCTCTGAAAAAGCCATTTAACAGTTAAGACTAATTTGAGATCATGTGGTTTTGACAGGCTGAGTTGAGACAGAATTATTTCTGTCCTTCCCAGCAATATTCAACAATTCAAACAACCGCTTAACAGAGAATTTGGAAATGTAGAAATTCAGGCTTAAGAAACACTTCTAGGGGGTTGCATTAACATATTAAGGCTGCAGCCCTGAAGCATCAAGAACAACATTCTGAATAGGAGAAATAAGATTTTATTTCCATTTTTTTTTTCCTGAGTTGTGATCTCAGAAAGAAAAATCTGACCTCAGTTCTCCAAAGGAACTTGGAAAGAGCAGAAACTGTTACTGGCTAGGCTTTAGTTAACTACTTAATTCTGCAAATTGAGGTGTACTGTGAAGAAAATGTATTGTTCTGCAAAGTGGATTATTCCGTGAATCAACTGAATTGTTTGCTGAATATGCTCCATAATTAGTAAACAAAATTTCTAGACGATTGCTACAAAGTTGAACTTCTTGACTTTTTAAAAACGTGAAATGCATGCTGATTTTCAAATGAATTCTTTTGGTGGATTCCAAAATCTGCTTATGTAATATTTTGTTTATAACTTTACCAACTACCTTGGACCAATTATTGGCTTTTTATCAACCATCCCTACTGGCAAATTCGCTATAAACCATTATGGAAAAGCTGGTAAGAGATTTTATAATGGCAGCTGCTTAATTAAAAAATAAATAAACCAGAAATTACATTCAAACTGCCTCAATAGTTTATTTATGGGAGTGAGGGAAATGAGGGTGGGGTGGGACCCTTTTTAACAAAAAGATATCTTTTAGGTGTATTATGCCAAGTAAATTTTGGTTATCTAAAATAAAATAGGAATACATGAGACCTAAGGTCCTAAATTCAAACAAAGAGGACAAACATATAGAAGTAAAAATTCTTAAGAAATCTACCAGGGGAAAAATAAAGAATGAAATAGTGCAAATTGAAAATTCTCCTTTTGCATTCTCCCGCCAGCCGAGGTGCAACATAATTCACCTTTTGATGGCTTAATCTTTACAAAATGTCTCACAAAATAATTCTGTTACCTATAGAAAGCCTATACATCAATATAGATTCTTTAATAAATTATCCCATCTTTAAGCGCCTTCTATTTTCATATAAATGATAATATAGATAATTAAAATAAAATGTAAAGCTTTCCCCCTCCCCCAATTGTACCCTTCTTCTTGGTCAAGTTTTAAGTACCCTGAATGTTGCGTGTCCATGTGAACGCACTTCAATATGAAAGCTTTCCTTCCCAACAAACCACATTGAATGACTGAGATCCAGATGCAACAGTGGGATCTGAAGTTGAAAGGGGGGGGGGAGAAATTATGCTCCAGTGGATCGGGATGGGGGGTGAGGGGGCAGGAAGGAGAGATATGCATAGTTATATGAAAGTCGAGGTGCTGCAAATACAGATGTACTATGATCAAAGGAAGTCCCTGATCCAACATCTGGGAAAATTAATAATCATCATAATAAAAGCATTCAAGGTCTCAGCAGAGTCAGTGGCTTTTGGGTGAGATTCTGCAAAGCCGCAGCCGTTCAGCTCTTCCTCCAGAGATGCGTTAGGTAGGACTTGTGATCATATCCACTTTACTCAAAGGATACGTCCTGTAGGATTAAGACACCCAGGAGATGGGTGTATGTGTGTGTGTGTGTGTGTGTGTGTGTGTTTTCAGCCACCAAGAAACACACTGAGCTGAGCCATTACAAGCTGGAAGGGAGGCAACGGATTGGTCATTTCTGCCTCTGGGTTCGTCCTTACAAAGCTGTGTGGTGGAGCACACAGAACATTTTGTGCTGTGTAGTGTTTGGATAGGTGTGTATGTGTGTGTGTGAGAGAGAGATTTAATATGGCAGGCTTGTTTTTTTTTCATATAAAATGTTCTTTCTTTTTTCTTTCCCTTTATGACCAAATCAGCGTCCTTCATGGCTTCCGGCAGTTTGTGTTGTATGTTCAGAAAAATAATAATAATAATAATAATAACCACATCGACAGCAAGAAACGTGAAAGTAATCCCCCCCCAGCCCTCCCCAAAGCTTCCAAATAAGTTAGGATTAAATTTTCTTCTAAATACTTCTCCGTTGGGATCAGAGGAGGTGGCTCGGCGAGTTTATAGCTTTTCCTTGGAAGGTACCCAGATGAAGGAATCTGACTGTTCTTCAATCACGAGTTTGGTTTGGTTATATATATCTTCTAAGGTATCTCCCTGGACAATTGCTAGAGGGAGGAAAACAACATTGGTCAGTGTTTTAGTATCTGTAGGTCTGATATGGAACAAAGCTTCGTTTTGAACAGGGAGGAAACCTGCAGCTTGAAAATTCATTTGTTGGGGGGAGCTGGTCAATGGAACGCTTGCAAGCAGACAACCAAGCTGAGAGAGCACAAGGACACCACACTTGAGTATGTCTAGTTTAACGAAGAGAAGGACGAGGGGGGACATGATAGCAGCATTCCAATATCTCAAGGGCTGCCCCAAAGAAGAGGGAGTCAAGCTATTCCCCAAAGCGCCAGAGGGCAGGACAAGAAGCAACAGGTGGAAACTAAGCAGGGAGAGAAGCAACCTAGAACTAAGGAGAAACTTCCTGACAGGTAGAACAATTAACTAGTGGAACAACCTGCCTCCAGAAGCGGTGAATGCTCCGACACTGGAAGTTTTTAAGAAGAGACTGGACAGCCATTTGTCTGAAATGGTATAGGGTTTCCTGCCTGAGCAGGGGGTTGGACTAGATGACCTCCAAGGTCCCTTCCAACTTTATTATTATTATTATTAACCCTGAGCTACAAAAATTCTCTTGCATCGGTAATTGCGTTTCAGCACAACCTATTGGGATTTTAGGACATTTGAATTGATTATCTGTATGGCATATCGCTTATTTTTACTGTTAACGTTTGGGGTGTATTTATCTATTTTATTTAATGGTTGATGGAGATTCTCAGTCATCCAGGTCATGTTTTTCTTTGAAGACGTTTCGTTTCTTATCCGAGAAGCTGATGAAGCTTCTCAGATGAGAAGCGAAACGTCTTCAAAGAAAAACAAGGAAGTGCAGTTACCTCCTGAAAAAAAGCAGCTTTGGGACATTTTATTTAATTACAGTATTTATCCAGTCTGACTGAACACAGAGTGGATTATTGCTTGAATGTTTGGAGAGCTGGGAACGTTCAGAAGAAATATACCAAGCTAGGCTGATCATTGTCTTCTCTCAAGGGGAAAAAAAGCAACTTGTACATAGCTGTATTTACGATACTAGAGCTAGTCCTCACTTACTGACCACTTGTTCAGTGACTGAACTTAAAATGGCGCTGAAAAAGGAGACTTAGGATGGTCCTCGAAGTTACAGCCTGTGTGAACATGTGATTATGATTTGGATACTTGGTGACTGACATGCATTTATAAAGGTTGTGGTGTCTCCCAATCATGGGATTACTATTTGCAACTTTCACAACCGTCTTCCAACTGAGTCTATGGGAAAGCCAGCAGGAAATTGCAGGTCATGATCCTGTGTTGTCGTGCCTAATAATTGCACTGCTTAGTGATGGAATTGCTGGTCCCACCTGTGGTCAGTAAATGAGGACTACCTGTATAATTCATTTCTCGTTCCTTATCCTCAAAATGTTGCCAGGAATAAATGACGTACTTCCTTCTCCTTCATGCAAAAATAAAATAAAATAAAAAGGAAGTCTTTTCAAACGTACCTGTAAAATATTCTCCAAATTCTTGTTCTAATTTCATGGCGCGTTCATAGGTTTTCTTCGCCTGTTCCTCTGTGAGGCGTTTATTCATTTCCCTGAAACGCAGTTTGAAAGCTCAAGTAAAAGAGAGGGAGATATTCAAACAACATTTCATTTGCCCTTGGCAGAAATAAACATAAAGCGATAAATATCACTCCCAAATGGCTGTAAATGAAAAAAATAATAATGCTGTAGTTCCTGCAGATATTTCAGCAGAAGCGTCATTGAGGAAAATATGGCTTATCCTATCGGGGCCTCTAGAAATTATTATTATTTGGCAAGTGGAAAACATTGTGCACACATTTCCTGCCTATATTGTTGAATGGTTAAATATAATTTTTATAGGGTTTGGATTAGGGTTAGGATTAGGGTTTTTTAAAAATAACATTTTTAATATTTAGCAAACAGCATGTTGTTTGGGTTCATGTATTTAAAAAAACAATGAGTAATAGTTAATTTTGTTATTATCATAATCAATATGTTAGTTAATCGCTCAATAGTCTTCTTTTTACTAGTATATATTCAATGTTACATAATACATATCACGTTCCTTTCTCTCTAACTTGTTTTTCTAGCCATTGATAAAAATTGTCCCATGTTCTAAAGTACACTGAGTCTTCTTTCTCTTTTATCTCTAATGTCAATCTGTCCATTTCTGCACAATCTAAAATTTTCTTAATTAGTTCTTCTTCTGTTGGTAAGTTTTCATTTTTCCAATATTGAGCAAATACAATTCTTGCTGCAGTTAATACATGTAAAATTAAGTATATACAATCTTTCTCATAGTTTCCTCCTATTATGCCTAACAGAAACAGTTCTGGCTTAAAATTGATATGTTTTTTAGTCATTTTCTCCAACCACATGTGTATTTTTGACCAAAATCTTTTAGCTTTAGGGCACGTCCACCTGATATGATAATCAGTACCTAGGAAAGACCCAGGTTCTAATCCATCCACAGTCATGGACATTCAGTGGTTTGCCTTGAGGACAGTCAGACAGGCCTACCTTACAAGGTTGTTCTGAGATTCAGACAAGAAGAACCCTGATTTAAGTCATGGAAACTCACTATCTGAGTGGACCAGTGACACGGTTACATCTTGACCTACCTCACAAGGCTGTTATATGGAAGGAAAAAAAAATAGAGGGAGTATTATGCATGCTGTCTTAACTACCTATATCTCCTTACACACGGCCTTCTATGCTTTTAATATTTTACAAGTAGTCCTTGACTTACAACAATTCATTTAGTGACTGTTCAAAGTTACAACGGCACTGACTTATGACCAGTTTTCACACGACCGCTGCAGCATCTCCATTGGTCACGTGATCAAAATTCAGCCACTTGACAACTGATTCCTATTTATGACGCTTGCAGTGTCCCGGGGATGGGTGTGTGTGTCATGTGATTCCATTTTTGTGACCATTTGTGACAAAAGCAAAGTCGATGGGGAAGCCAGATTCACTTAGCCGCTGCTGTGTTACTAACTAAACAACTGCAGTGATTCACTTAATAACTGAGGCAAGAAAGGTTGTAAAATGAGGCAAAACTCACTTAACAAATTTATGGCTGTAAGATGACTACCTATATATTACACTGCCTCGGGTCCTTTTATGAAAGAGGCGTGAGGTTCTTAAATATGACACATAAATAAATAATAGGAAAGTGGGATGCAACACTAACGAAACTAATGAAATAAAATGTTAGATTTTTCGGGGATAAGATCTCTTTTTTCCCCAGCCCTCCTTTTCCCTCACAGTGGACAGGGAAAATATTCCTAAAGTTATAACATCAGAGCTTCATTTGTCCAAGGCTGTTTTCTACAATCTACTTCCAGTGAATAAATATGCTCAGTCCAAAAACATTAAGAAAAAAACAATGTTTTTCTGCCACTGAGCATGTGTGAAGTAGCTTCTGCTTTTCTAGTGAGAATCACTGTATCTTACCCATTATCTGAAATTATTGGGTGCGGTTTCTGGGTCATGGGACATGGCATCCTTTCCAGGCATTGGTTAATTTTAGAAACTCAGTGTAAACAAACAAATAAATCCAATAAAAAAAAACTCCAGCTTTTTCACAGAAGCAGGCAGGCCCAGAGTCTGCAGAAAAATCTCCGTGTGTTGCTTGGAGGAAATTACAGCTAGTCCCTGACTTTCATTTAACAATGGTTCAAAGTTACAGTGGCCTCAGAAGCAACAGCTTACGACAAGACTGTTGTTGCATCGCCCCTGCGATCATGTGATTGCATTTTTAAAAGCTGCAGTGTTTTCTGGTAACACGATCGAGGATCTGTGATTTTCCCAACCAGCTTCCCACAAGCAGAGTCAATTGCGGAATTTAAATTTGCTTAATAGCCTCGTGATTCACTTAATGATCACACGATTCGCTTAACGACCATGGTAAAAACGGTTGCAAAATCAGGTTCTATCACGTGGTGACTCATTTAACAACTACACTACTTAAGACTAACGTTCCAGTGCTAATTGTGGTCGCACATGCATTATGATGCATAAAGATTGGGTTGAGAAGATCACGCCAGTTCCCATGTGCTACTTGACCTAACTCTGTTGTTTGCTGAACTATCTATGAGCATGGATGAAACACACAGAAAGAAAAAGCAGCAAACCAGAACTGTGGGGGTGGTGGTCTCCATTTCAGATCCCACCTGAACATTGCTGTGGTGTTTTTCTATGCAAGACAGAATCGAGCTATTACACAATCTAAGGATTCACATAGAATAACTTTACTTCGGTTCTGCTACTTCAGATATTACTAAGAGCAGGGTAGGAAAGAATGTCTGAATATGCGAGTAACATCTTGAATGAAAAAATGAATGAAAAAAATGAATGAAAAAATCCTATCATGATAAGCTAGGTGAGAAGCCCATCAAGTATCATCCTAGAACAGGGGTAGGCAACCTTGGCTCTTTTATGATTCGTCGACTTCAACTCCCAGAATTCCTGAGCCAGCATGGCTCAGCTTGGAAACCTCTCCCTTTTCCCTCAGCATGGCTGGCTCAGGAATTCTGGGAGTTGAAGTCCATGAGTCATAAAAGAGCCAAGGTTGCCCTAGAACAGTGTTTCTCAACCTTGACAATTTTAAGGCATGTGAACTTCAACTCCCAGAATTCCACAGCCAACATTGCTGGCTGTGGAATTCTGGGAGTTGAAGTCCACATGCCTTAAAATTGTCAAGGTTGAGAAACACTGCCCTAGAATCAGCACATACACACTTCCACACCCAGGAAAAGCTGCCCTATGAAACAGTCTCTCTGTACCCCATTTTCTCTGTAGCTGCCCCTATGGGGCAAAAGGCTTTTCATTGTTATTATTACTGGAAACAATTTTGTTTGCTTCCCTTTATGGGGAGGAAAGCTTTTCACAAGGTCACAACACCAGTCCCTTCTGCCTCCATGTTCCTCAGATAAACACACAATGAATAAATGAAACATCCCAACAGAGTCCTTTGTGTTCTCTGAGCTTGATTGTTTTCTTGCAGATGTTTCATTAGCCAGCTAGCTACTTCTTCAGTGCAGCACTGTTGATACTAACTAGTTGGGTAATGAAACACCTGCAAGAAAAAAGCCAAACTCAGAGAGACAAAGTACCCCAGAATTCAACACGGAGCTACAAATATTCTGTCCGATTGCTACATTACGAGCCCTTTTCTGGGTCCCCGATGGGTTTGAACATCAGGATTTATCCTCTACTTCCACACTCATGCATACTGTATGAATGCAACACAGAAATACAAATCCTCGCAGGAGGAGACCTGAGTCCTAGAAAGTGTGGTAAGAATTTATAAATGTTATAACTGTGTTAGAACTATTGTATAGGGAATCATATGGTAACCAAGCCAGGTCTCCCAAAAAGGTTAACAGCCTCCAAAATCTTTTAAACTCTCAGAAAACACATGTGTTAATTAAACACTTATTTCAAATGACGCTGTCATGGTTCCAACAGATGAAACTCTTTACCTTAAAGAATCCTTATTTTGAGTAGCATAATATTGGCACTGCATAATCGAAGCCAAAGACTGAATTCCCCTTCCCTGAGCACATAGTATCAAAGCACAATTCCCTCCTCCAATTAACAGCCATAAATCACATTCCCCAGTTAGCTTGAAGCGCAGGCTTCCTCTCCAGTTCTCCAGCCCGCCAATTCCTTATCAGCTCTGGTTACAATAACCTTGTTTCTCACGCTAGGTTTAATGTTGTTATGTCTAGCTGGACTCTCATTCACATCCCCCCCTTCCAGCATCATCTAACTCAGTGTTTCTCAACCTTGACAATTTTAAGGCATGTGGAATTCTGGGAGTTGAAGTCCACATGCCTTAAAATTGTCAAGGTTGAGAAACACTGATCTAACTCCAAAAACAAAAGGTAAAAGATGGCTACATTTCCATCTGTGGTCAGTGCAAAAACATCCGATGTTAGCAGCTTTGACAGATGCAAGCAAACCCCCAAACTCAATACATGAAATGTGAGCATAATTATCACCCTCACAGTTCAAAGAAAGAAAACCAATCCACATCACTTGATTTGATCAACCTCTTCTCTGGGGTCAACATGTGCACATGGCCAAGCCCCTCAAGTATCACCCTAGAATCAGCACGGACACACTTCTATACCTAGGCAAACTCCCCTATAAAACAATCTCTCTATACCCCACTTTCTCTGTAGCTGCCCTCATAGGCAAATCTCTTTGCTTTGGGAAATAAATAATTCTCCTTTCCTCACAGCTGTCTGGATTTCATTTTTATTCTTGTGATGGAACCCCAGATGATTCTTCGGACAAAAGTCCCACCACGTTCAGAAAGGAGATTGGAGAAGACAGTACTCACATTAAAGGCTCCCACGATCTAGGTTTAATGAAGATTGCAATAGGGTAGAGTTGTGCAACTTGAAGACGTTTAATGGCGTTTCCTGATACATCAAGGATACAGTGCTTGCCCTAGTGACAGGAAAGGAGGAAAGGTTTACATTTGAGGTGAGGGTGGATTTTAGAGGAAAAAATAAATAAAACTCACAAGGGTGGACCAGAATAACAGAGTTGGAAGGGAGCTTGGAGGTCATCTAGTCCAACCCCCCGCACAGGGAGAAAACCCTATACCAGTGATGGCGAACCTTTTAGAGACCAAGTGCCCCAAAACCGGCCCCTCCCTGCTACCCCCACCCGCCCCTGCTCTGCCCCCCGCCCCTGTCCGCTCCGCCCCAGCTCGCCCCGACCTGCAGGGCCATCCACTGCCTCTATGGCTTGCCGCAGATCACCCAGGTGGCCCAGCAGTGCTATGGAAGCCACACCTTCCACCTGAGCCCCACAGCATCAACTGCGCGTGACAGAGAGCAAGGGTGGAGTCATGTCCCTGCTGCCCGGCTGCCATGTCCTTGGCTGCACTGCTCCGCGGGTGACTCTCCTACGGGGGGGGGGTGCTGGTAAGGAGGGGGCTGTGGGGGGAGGCGGGGCTGGGGCAATGGTGCGTGTGCCCACAGAGAGGGCTCTGAGTGCTGCCTCGTGCACCCGTGCCATAGGTTCGCCATCACTGCCCTATACCATTTCAGACAAATGGTCGTCCAATTTCTTCTTAAAAACCTCCAGTGTTGGAGCACCCACAACTTCTGAAGGCAAGCCGTTCTAGTGATTAATTGTTCTGTCAGGAAATTTCTCCTTAGTTCTAGGTTGCTTCTCTCCTTGATTAGTTTTCATCCATTACTTTTTGTTCTGCCTTCCGGTGCTTTGGAGAATAAATTGATCCCCTCTTCTTTACGTCAACCCTTGAGTTATTGGAACACTGCTATCATGTCATCCCTAGCCCTTCTTTTCGTTAGACTAGACACACCTAATTCCTGCAACTGTTCTTCATATATTTTAGCCGCCGGCCCGCTTAATCATCATTGTTGCTCTTCTCTGCGCTCTTTCTAGAGTCTTTCTAGAATCTCAGCCTAGTGATTATCCTATCTTTTGTTGAAAACGTCCAGTGATGGGGCACTCACAACTGTGAAAGGCAAACTATTCCACTGATTAATTGTTCTCACTGTCAGAAAAGTTCTCCTCACTAATTTTCTAACATGAAGACATTTTCCAAACACGCACCAGCCCTCTTCCAAGCGGTTCAAAAAAATGGGCAGCTCTTAATTCAGGTGATGGCAAAGGGTGTGTTTTAGCCTACATGGGCCAGCACCCTCCTGGTCCTTTACATACTTGTACGTTGTGAACAAGAACCATCATATTGCATTTCCAACTTTAATTGTCTGTTCTAATATTAGCCTTATTGTTCAGTCAAAAAATAACTTGTCTTTAAATTAAAGAAATTAATTTGATGTTGAATCTTATAACAGCTGCAAGACTACTGGTAGGGCAATATTGGAAGAAATTTTTTTTTGCCTACTATGGAAGAATGGATACTTAAGGTGTCTAATTTAGCAGAAATGACAAAAATCTCCGCTTATTTGAAGGATCATTCACAAGAAAAATATATTTCGGTTTGGAGAAGATGGATTGATTATATTCAAAAGAAATATCAGACTGAAAAATATTATCTTGCTTATGAGTAATTTTTAGATTATTATTAATAGTTTAATATGATTGAATTTATATTATTTTTAGTATTATGGTTTAATTATATAATTATTTTTGTTTTCAATTTGTTAATATTTATTTTGAAGAGGAGTTAAAGTATGTTATGGATTTGATTAATAGTATAGTTGGGTAATGTTATTTAGATTATGTTTGTTTATTTGTAACCCTGTAATCAGCTCTGGGAAGTAGGGGAGGGGTGGAGGGGTGGGAGAGATTGGGGATATATATCGTGTGAAATTTTTAAAACTTTTAATAAAAAAAAATAACTTGCCTTTTATATCTTCCTTATCATCCCTCCCTATGGAGCACTTCTACTTCTAATGTTTGGAGAAAATATTTGTAGTTCACGTGAAGACAAGGGATCCTTGATGCTCTCTTGAGCCTGGTTATTTTCTTGCAGACGTTTCATTACCAAACTAGGTAACATCATCCATGTCAGTGTGCTCTAGCACTGATGTTGTTATCTAGTTTGGGTAGTGAAACTTCTGCAAGAAAACCATCAAGATCAGAGAGCACCAAGGATCCGTCATCTCAACCCTGAGCTACCAATATCTTCCTTTAATGAAAATATTTAAACCTGTTTTGGAAAATCTCCTTGCAATTGCGGAAAAATTTATTCTCTGGCAAAAGAGGCTTCCGTTTTTCTGCCTCATTCTCAGGAAGTTTGAGAAGGTCTTTGAGGCAACGACTGAAGCTGATTTTAGGATTTGAGGGTGGAGAGGGGGACCAGGAAGGCTGGGAATATTGCTTGTGATATCTTCTTATCAACTCTATGGTTTCCTTAGTTCAGGAGAAGGCAACCTTGGCTCTTTTATGACTCGTGGACTTCAACTCCCAGAATTCCTGAGCCAGCCATGCTGAGGGGAAAGGGAGAGGTTTCCAAGCTGAGCCATGCTGACTCAGGAATTCTGGGAGTTGAAGTCCACGAGTCATGAAGGGGCCATAGTTCCCCCATGCTGGCTCAGGAATTCTGGGAGTTGAAGTCCACAAGTCATGAAGGGGCCCTAGTTCCCCCATGCTGGCTCAGGAATTCTGGGAGTTGAAGTCCACGAGTCATAAAAGAGCCAAGGTTGCCTACCCCTGCCCTAGTTGCTTATTCTTTCAAGCTAAGAAAACTGGCAGTTTCTGGTTGATGTTTTCTTTTGTTACTGAATGGAGAGACTTTCACATATCCTGGGAGACATTTTATGCAACGAAAGGTAATTTGCCCCCTTTTTAATTAAGATAAGTGCAGAAACACCCAGTCCTTAGAATTTTATTTAATTTTTCTTTTTCTTTGTGGGAATAAGAATGGTTGGGGGAAAAATATAGAAAAAATGTTTGGCCCTGTGTTAGTAAGACTCACCCAAAAAGATTGCTGTGGAATACAATGTGTTATTTGCATCGTTCCAGGTAGTCCTCGAATTACGATTGTTCGTTTAGCAACCGTTCAAGGTTGCTAGGGCACTGAAAAAAGTGACTTACAACTGGTCCTCACACATGATCATCGCAGTATCCCCATACAGCAGGGGTCCCCAACCCCCGGCCTGTGGACCAATATCGGGCCACAGCATGCCAGCAACCGGTCTGCACAAACAAGGAAAGCCCCATCCATGGGATGGAGGTAGCATACAAAGCCACACCCCTATCCGGTCCGTGGAAAAACCTCTCTCCACGGAACCGGTCCCTGATGCCCCAAATGTTGGGGACCTCGGCCACACAGTATCCTCATAGTCATGTGATCAAAATTTGGACGCTTGGCAAACAGTATATATTTATGATGGTTCCAACACCCTGGAATCATGGGATTGCCACTTGTGATCTTCCCAGCTGGCTTCTGACAAGCAAAATCAATAGGAGAAGCCAGATTCGCTTAATAACTGTGTGATTCACTTAATAACCACAGTGATTTACTTAACAATCGTGGCCAAACAAGGTATAAAATTGGGCAGGACTCCCCTCCCAACCCCCACGCTTAGCAACAGAAATTCTGATTCCATTGTAAATCGAGAACTATTTGCGTATGGAATTCATGTTATAGTTACGAATGAATATGTGTTACGAATCCCCTGGACTGCAAGGCGATCAAACCGGTCAGTCCTAGAAGAGATCAACCCTGACTGCTCTTTAGAAGGTCAGATCCTGAAGTTGAAACTCAAGTACTTTGGCCACTTAATGAGAAGGAAAGACTCACTGGAGATGAGCCTAATGCTGAGAAATATTGAGGGCAAGAGAAGAAGGGGACGACAGAGAAGGAGGTGGCTGGATGGAGTCACTGAAGCAGTAGGCGTGAGCTTAAATGGACTCCAGAAGATGGTAGAGGACAGGAAGGCCTGGAGGAATGTTGTCCACGGGGTCGCGATGGGCCAGACACGACTTTGCAACTAACAACAACATGTGTTATGATCATTCATCATTAGTTTAGGAATTATACTGACAGAAACCATATCAATTTCTATGAAAGCTGGTTCTGGGCTTTTCTCAAATGACAGAAACCCAGACCTAGAACTGCATTTCATATAATTTAATAGGATAATAGTACATTCTGCATTTGTACCATCTGGGTCATTTACCCTTTCGGCTACAAATCGCACGGACTGCACGCTGGTCCCATAGAGATTATCGTTATACTGGCCGGCTTCGATGAATTTGTGCTCTTGAATGTCTTTTTCCATTTGTTCTCTGGAGATGACAAAGTGGTAATCTCGACCGTCCACTTCATAATCGCGCTTCGGTCGGGTGGTATCTTGGGGGGGGGGGGGTAACAAAAAATGAGAGAGGTTTTGCTAAGTGAACCAAGACCTGTGCAATTTATTTTGTCAGAAATACAGAATAACAGAATTGGAAGGGACCTTGGAGGTCTTCTAGTCCAACCCTCTTCTCAAGCAGGAGACCCTATACCATTTAAGACAGGGGTAGGCAACCCTGGCTCTTTTATGACTTGTGGACTTCAACTCCCAGAATTCCTGAGCTAGCATGGCTCAGCTTGGAAACCTCTCCCTTTCCCCCTCAGCATGGCTGGCTCAGGAATTCTGGGAGTTGAAGTCCACGAGTCATAAAAGAGCCAAGGTTGACTACCCCTGCTCTATATCCTTTCAGACAAATGGTTGTCCAATCTCTTCTTAAAAATCTCCATTGCTGGAACACCCACAACTTCTGAAGGCAAAGCCATTCCACTGATTAATTCTGCTAATAATCAGGAAGTTTCTCTTTGGTTCTAGGTTGCTTCTCTCTTTGATTAGTTTCCATCTGTTGCACATTTTATAAGAGTTTCAGAGAGAGGACAATGTTACATCCCCCAAACCAAGAAAGCTGAGCTCCTTCTAAACAGTTTCCTTTATTGTTCATCACTTGTAGACAGCATCTTGCCAAACTAAAGCAATGGCTGGCATTATTAAAGACATACAGGCAATCCTCGACTTACAACATTCCATTTAGTGAACGACGACTCAGGACCCTCTTCTACCGGTCTACTATCTAAAGCCTTCGCACAAACTGTATTTGGGTTTGGTGTGCTGGCTTGACAGCCGCAGACAGGAAGGTATTACAGAGGGTGTTGAGCATGGCACAAAACATCGTGGGCTGTTCCCTGACACCACTGGATGACATCACCAGGGCTGTTGCCTTGGTAGAATGAGGAAAATCCTCAGGGATGACTCTCACCCTGGTCGGTACCTCCTTACTCTCCTATCATTGGGTAGGAGATACAGAAACAAAGCCAGCCGTACCAACAGGCTGAAGAACAGCTTTTATCCATGGGCTGTCAGGCTCTTGAATGGGACATAATAATTTCATGCATGGCAGACCCGAGAGGCTGGCGTGCTGTGCAATTAGCTCACAGGGTGTAATAAGTTGGGGGTCTGTAATCACTGTGAGTTGTGGGGGGGGCACCGAGGGAGGCTCAGCCAATCTCACTGTATACATGTTATACTTTGATAATTTATTTATTTATTAAAATTTATAGACCGCCCCACTCCCGCAGGACTCCGGGCAGCTAACAATAAAAACACAATATAACTTAACAAGACAAACAATACAGTAACATTCATCCAGGGGTCAGATTTTATAAACTCCAGGCCTGCCGGAAAAGCCAGGTCTTAAGCAGCTTGCGAAAACCAACAGGGTGGGAGTGGTCCTAATCTCCAGGGGAAGCTGGTTCCAAGACGTGGGCGCCATCACAGAGAAGGCCCTCCTCCGCGGCCCCGCCAAATGGCATTGCTTGGCCGACGGGACCTAAAGGAGGCCCAGCCTGTGGGATCTAACCAGACGAAGGGAACTATGAGGTAGTAGGTGGTCTCGCAAATAGCCTGGCCCTGAGCCATATAGAGCTTTAAAGGTAATAGCCAACACTTTGAATTGGACCCGGAGACCAATAGGCAACCAGTGCAGCTCGCGGAGGATAGGTGTAACGTGGGTGTACTGAGGAACACCCACTATCACTCGCGCGGCTGCATTCTGGACCAACTGTAGTCTCCGAATACTTTTCAAGGGTAGCCCCATGTAGAGCGCATTGCAGTAGTCCAGGCGTGAGATGATGATAATAAAGGTTCATTCATTAAAAGCTATAGCAGCACTGTAAAATGTTACGGCCCTTTGCAGCCTCCCCATGATCATGTGATCAAAATTCAGATGCTTGGCCACTGGCTCGTATTTACGATGGTTGCAGTGTCCTAGGGCAGTGGTGGCGAACCTATGGCATGGGTGCCAGAGGCGGCACTTGGAGCCCTCTCTGTGGGCACACACACCGTCTTCCCAGCCCCGCCTCTTCCCATGGCCCCCTCCTCACCAACAACCCCTCTGGAGGAGAGTTGCCCCTGGGCACGGCCCACACGAAGCAGCGCAGCCAAGGACATGGTAGCCGGGCAGCGGGGACAAGACTCTGCCCTTGAGCCCCGTTGCGCGCAGATGATGCTGCAAGGTCTGGGCAGAGGGTGTGGCCACCGTGACGCTGCTGGGCTGCTTGGGTGATCTGTGGCGGGCAGTGGAGGTGGTGGGTGGCCCAGTGGGCAAGGCAGAACAGGGACGGGGATGGTGGGGTGGTTTTGGGGCACTGGGTCTCTAAAAGGTTCGCCATCACTGTCCTAGGGACACGGGATCCCCTTCTGCGATTTTCTGACAAAATGGGGAAGCCAGATCCACTTAACAACTACATTACTAACTTAACAACTGCAGTGATTTACTTAACAGAAGTTAAGAGAAGTCGTAAAATGGAGGAAAACTCACTTAACAAATGTCTTGCTTAGGAATATAGATTTTGGGTTCAGTTGTGGTCGTAAGTCAAGGACTACCTGTATTCTGAGAACTTTCAGGGAGGAGCTGTCTTAACTCTCTTCGTCCCTACTGAATTATCTAAACTTCGCTGTCTCTTGCTCCTCTGGAATGCAGCCCTTCCCTCCTGGGAATCCAGACCACATTCCACCACAGCTCAGAACCATTTGCACCTGATTCTAGCCAGGAAATATAGACATAAACGCTTCCTGACAGATATTACTTACGTGGGACACAGGAGCCAAATTTGTCAGGAAACTCAGATATCAAATCATCATTTATCCGATCTTTCATTGGGCCAAGGATAATAACCGGCCTGGTGTAATTAACTGAAATGCAGAAAGAAAAGATGATGGCGAAGGTAGCTTTGTAACAAGCACTGATGATGGGTTGATGTCTAATATTTAATTTTGGGAGATATCAATGGAATGCCATCAACTTGGATTATGCATTTAGATTTAATAAACGGAACGAAGGACAAATAATATTTCCTAAAAGAAAACAAGGAATTTCATGAGATGCATGTTCTCCAGAAGGCTTGATGGAACGCTTCTACATTGAATTGTTCTCCAAAAGATGTAATGACCATTACTTTTTGCTATTAATCTGGGTTTTTCTGCTGGAAAACAAAGGCTAAATAGTGCAATCATGAAATCTAACAAGGTCCTTCTTACAATATAAAGGACATTGGGCAAATTAGTTTTTTTTTTTTAAACCCTCTTTCATTATGTTCTTTGAATGAGATGGAAGATACCAGCTATATATATTTTGTAGAACTTGTCTGAAACAAATATGAATAGATTTCACATCTTAAATCTAGGCTATATGTAAAATACAACAAAGCAGAAAACCATGTATTGAGGAATTGCATGCATACAGTCCAAATCATAAACTATATCATGGTTTCAAAAGTTGCAGTTGATTAGGCTTGATGTTACGTGGTTTAAATATTCATTAAAATGACTAAGAAAGTGGAATATTAAAAGTTGGCAACCTTTGTATGACTCCGTTACGAATGAAAGTATTTCTTTAGATGGCAGGATATTAAATCATTGCTATGGTATCTCTGAATTGGAATTTGCAACGATGCATTGCATAGTTTTGCCTTTTGCCTGCTTTTCTCATGCATGGATTTTGGTCAAGGCTAGATCTTTGCTTGCAGAAAGCAAGTAACAATTTAGCAGAAGTATCTGAGCAAAAACAAAGCAAGCTAGGACAACTCATTCGGCCATAAGAGACTGAGCAAAGGAATTTTTAGGTAGCGAGGACATATTAAAAAAAAAAGGTAATCCCATCAACCACACTACAGCTCAGGATTTTGGCACCTTGTCTTGCTGTACAACAGGTGAGGAGAAGCACCTGAGCAAAACTGAAGTGAGCTAGACCCACTCAATCTGAGTGGTCTGCCCTAATAGACTTAGTGAGGGAGTTTTTAAGTAGGAAGGACATACCGTATATGCCGGCGTACACGGCGACCCGGCGTATAAGACGACCCCCGTCTTTGTCGCTGAGTCGCATTCCTAGAACGTTGTCTTATACGCCAGAAACTACCAGTATTTCCGGCGTATAAGACGACTCGGCGTATAAGACGACTCGGCGTATAAGACGACCCCCGTCTTTGGCGCCGATTTTAACGCTTGCAGAAGTCGCCTTATACGCCGGCATATATGGTAGGTAAAAAAAAGTAGTCTCTGTAATCTACAACAGCGATCCCCAACCTTTGCAGCTTGGCGGCCCGGTTGGGGGGAGGTGGAGAGGGGAGCTGGGCCGTGCAAGCTCGACTACTTTAGCTGTGCATGTGTGTGCCGGCCTGCCACTTGTGCGGCCCAGTTGTGAATAGGCCACAGCTAGTGGTGGGATACAAATATGTCAACAATGGTTCTCTGTGTGGATGTCCATTTGTTCTGCCGAACTGGGGCAAACTGGCTGAATCCCCACCACCGGCCACAGTCCAGTAGTGGGCCAAAGCCCCAGGGATTGGGGACCCCTGATCTGCAATGTAAAATAATTGTCAACCCTACTAGCAGCCCAAGATTTTACTGTAAAAATGAGCTAGGTATAGTTAGACCAAACTGAATAAGGAGCACACCCAAGCTTGTCCCAGAGGTTCTTTTCCAAAAGGCAACTGGACTTTCTTGATGTCTTTTCTTCCTTGAAAAAGTTTCACTTCTCATCCAAGAAGCTTCTTCAGTTCTTTCTTCTATTGCTTCTCGGATGGTGGGGAATGGAAAGATTTATACTCCTTGCAGAAAAACTGGTCATTTGCATTATTTTAGAGAGTCGTTGAGGCCACCTGGAATTTTGCCTTTGGGAAAAGCGCCTTTGGGACAAGCATGGCCTGGATATCTGAAAGATACTTTTTTTTCCTCACGAGGCAATTGGACTTTGTTTTTCTTTGAAGACGTTTCACTTCTCATCCCAGAAGCTTCTTCAGCTCTGACGGCATGGTGAGGAATGGGAGGATTTATACTCCTTGCAGACAGCACAGATAACCCTCCAGGTGGCCTCAACGACTCTCTAAAACAGTGGTTCTCAACCTGTGGGTCGGGACCCCATTTGGGGTCGAACGACCATTTCACGGGGGTTGCCAAACAACGCAGTCTGCCATTTTCCCCCCTTTTCCTTAGCTGTGCTACTCCCTTTTATTCTATTGGCTTTTGAAAGCCAATAGAATAGACTCTCTTGAATAGGCTAATTCTATTGGCTTTCAAAAGCCAATAGGAATTGTCCAGGCTGTCTCTGCCCTGCTGAGCCCACCAAAAGCCCCATTCTGCAAACGGTGCTGCATCAGTTGAGTAGTCCTCGACTTACGACCGGTTGAGTAGTCCTCGACTTACGACCGGTTGGGGGTCGCGGCATTAAAAAGGTTGAGAACCACTGCTCTAAAAGAATGCAAATGACCAGTTTTTCTGCAAGGAGTATAAATCCATTCCATTCCCTACCATCCAGTCAAATCTGAAGAAGCTTCTGGGATGAGAAGTGAAATGTCTTCAAAGAAAAACAAGAAAGTCCAGTTGCCTTGTGAGAAAAAAAGCATTTTTCGGACAAGTATGACCTGGATGACTGAGACTCTCCATAGAGATGGCCTGGATAATTGAGAATTTCCATAGACACCAAAGCTTGCTTACTTTCCTGCCTTGTTACGGGTTCATAGGAGAGAATGCAGTCCTCTTGTCCTCCTGATGAGAGAAGAAAACAGAGAGAAAATCAGCATTGAGACACAGTGCTTCCAAAATGCTTCCCAAGTTCCCATTTACTCTCTTGAGTATGCTTACGTACAAGTTGCTCCTAAATGCTTTCAAGCAATCTACCTCGGCTTAAAGTTTTAAGTTACCCTGTGACTTATCATTACAAATAGCGTGGATACACAGGCATCAGACATGATCTAAAGCAGTGGGTTTTTTTTTTTCAACCTTGATGACTTTTAAGATGCATGGACTTCAACTCCCAATTGATGCTGGCTGGGGACTTCTGGGAGTTGAGGTCCACGCATCTTGAAGACATGAAGGTTGAGAAATACTGACTTAGTGGATGAATCAGCACTGAGAAGGAAGTAGGATGGAGGGTGCTTCTCTAAGAAAAGATTGGACAATCATCTGTCTGGAACGATACTGGGTTTCCTGTTTGAGCAGGGGGTTGAACTAGAAGACCTCCAAGGTCCCTTCCAACTCTGTTATTCTATTATGATTAGATGACTTTGCAGATAATTCCCAATTCTGGGAGATGCTATTTAATTGTGGCAAGAAAGGATTGTCCACTTCTGTGGCTGCACCAATAGAAATTAAATAGAGAAAAAAAATTGTTAATGTCTTGAGTTGTTTGGTGACCCTCAAAGGACACTTGAAATGTTATGCTTTAAAACTGCTCTGGCCTTGCTTAAGAAGGTAGGCAGGAATCCTCCCACTTCTGGCATGTTAGTTGGCATAAAGATTTCTTCTATTATCTGTGCTCTGATTCCCAAATCAGAACGACAGATACTAGAAGGAAACATCTGGCTAGACCAAGGGTAGGCAACCTTGGCTCTTTTATGACTCGTGGACTTCAACTCCCAGAATTCCTGAGCCAGCCATGCTGAGGGGAAAGGGAGAGGTTTCCAAGCTGAGCCAGGCTGGCTCAGGAATTCTGGGAGTTGATGTCCACGAGTCATAAAAGAGCCAAGGTTGCCTGCCCCTGAACTAGGGAAACCTGGGCTAGACAGACTAAATGAGGGAAAAGGTGGGAGGGGAGCATGATTTGAACCTGGAGGAGACTCTATGCATGAATGGGACAGGATGAAAGAACTTTGTTCTAGAACAGTGATGGCGAACCTTTTAGAGACCGAGTGCCCAAACTGCAACCCAAAACCCACTTATTTATTGCAGGGCGCCAGGTGGGCGTGGCCCACTGGATGGGCGTGGCTGGGGTGGTCATGGCAGACTGGGTGGGTGTGGCCAAGGTGGGCGTGGTCACCTCAATGTTGCTCATGGAGAGGGATGCCTGTGGGGGCCGGGCAGGGTTGGGGGAGATCCAGGGGGTCTCTGGCAGGTGGGGCGGTGGGCAGGAGGCTCGTCCTGCGGGGTGAGGCGAGAGAAGGCGAGGCAGGGGCTGGGGAAGCTGCTGCCTGACACCATCAGTCTCCACACACAGAGGCTAAGCGAGCGCATGGGGGCCAACAATGTCCGTCAGCAGCCACAGTCTGCCGGCCCCTCGACTGGTGTACTCTGGGACTCTGCAGCCCGCCACCAGAAGTTCAGAGAAGCCGCCTCTGAGCTGGACAGACAGCTGACAGCTGAGGAGGCGATGTAGTGGGTCGTGCCCGGGAAAAGGAGAGCAGGCGAAGCCAGGAGGGATAGGACAGGGGGGAGAGAAACCAGCCATGCTGGGATGCATCCAGCCACGTGGGACCTCGGTGAGTTAGCGGGCGGCTGGTTGAAGAGGGACGGTTGCCATCTCCGAGGCACGGCGCACGTGCCCACAAAGAGGGCTCTGAGTGCCGCCTCTGGCACACCTGCCATAGGTTTGCCACCCCTGTTCTAGAAGTCCACACCAGCTGTGCAGGTAGTCCTCAACTTATGACCGTAATGGAGCCTGTCTGTCATGGTTGTGAGTCATGACGGTTATAACATAGGTCACCCATCTGGTTTTTTGAACCTCTTTTGCAGCAGTTGTTAAGCAACCACTATTAAGTAAATGCCAGTTTACAGTTTACACTGTGAGTTCTAGTTCCGCCTTAGGCATGGGCAAACTTGGCCAACTGCCAGGAGACAGTGCGAATTCTAGTCCCGCCTTAGGCATGAAAGCCAGCTTGGGCTAGTCACTCTCTCTTCCCAACTCACCTCACAGAGTTGCTGTTGTGGGGAAAATAGAAGGAAGAAAGTGTTCTGATACGTTTGCCATCTTGAGTTATTTGCAAAAACAATAGAGGCAGGATACAAATAAATACCATAAATTCTCATACGTTTGCTCAGATAGATTCCATTCTAATCAATAAAACGCCTTGCTTCTAACTCAGGAACCATATATGATGTCCAGAGCATTCCAAAGGAGGTGATTTTGAAGGCTACCTCCTACAATTTTGGGTCCTCCAAAGTATCAAGGCACACAGAACTTTTTGTTCAGACAGACTCCGCTCACTCCCTGCAAGTATCATTGCTAATCATGTGCTGGGTTTGAAAGTGGTTTGCTCCAGTTTCTTGGAAGACGACATTTAGACGTTGACTGCTAGACCTAAATTATAAAACTCCATTAATTTTCAGCAAGGCCTCGACAAAGAGGAAACCAGGTCCATTTCAGAGGTGCATAAGAAGTGACTGCGCCTTTGCAGCCCGTTATAAATAAACCTTTTGACACTTTCGCGTAATCTTTTTAAAATCTGAAAAGCAAAAAAAATGAAAGAAGAGAAACCCAAGAGAGGGGGAAAGAAAGGAAAAGAAACCAAATCTTAAAAGAGGCAAGCCAAAGTAAAAGAGCCCAAGAAATGCCATAACTTACTGTAGCTACTTTCGCTATCGCTGGCATTAGAAGGGAGATGTTCTGCAAGAACAGGACAGCAAATTAAAAGGAGATTACTCCAGCAGCAGAATGTCAAGCAATCATCCAGGTCATGCAGTCGGCATGCAAAGTTAAGAGTCAAAGGAACGGTGCAGTAGGAACTTGGCTACGAAGGTCAAAAGACATTACCACGTGTGGATATGCCGAGAAAGGGCTGTAGGGTTGGGTGCCGGTGAGATCTCTCAAAGAGCAGCAGCCAAAGAAATGTTAGTGATGCCTTTGCAAAGGTTTTGTTTCGTAAACATTTCTTAAATGTTTACGAAGGGTGATGAGAAACCATGGATCTACATGCACAATTACCCTTGGGGGGAGTATTGTGAGGAGGGGTGACTCAGGAAGAGCAATGTAGAGGGAGGCAATTAACTCTTTCCTGACCCACCACTGTTCTTCTTTCATTTGTCGCCTCCTAAAAAGTCAATACTATTATTATTGTTGTTGTTGTTTGTCTCAGTCAGCCAGATGTTCAGGCTGGGTTTGGCATCTTGATCTACCTATTGAATCCCTCCCAAGGACCTGGGATAGGCATTTGTGGAGGTTTGATGAGGCTGCAAATATGGTCGCAGGATGGAAGCCGTTCCTAGTAAGGCCGCCTTTTGCAATTGACTGATGGCAAAGTTGTCAATGCCGATGGTGTTCGGGTGATGCTCCAGTTGTTTTGGGATTGCACCTACGGAGCCTAGGATTATTATAGGTGCTGCCTTTGCTTGCTTCTGCCACAGTCGTTCTATTTCTATTTGCAGGTCTTTTATATTTTGCGGTCTTCTCCAGTTCTTTCTTTTCTATTCTGCTGTCCACTGGATGGTGGACATGGCAGTATCTGTTTTCTTATCATTATCATTATTATAAGTAGCAATAGTGGTCAAAGTTGTACTGTTATCTAGATGGGACTTGGACATTACGCAATGTACAGGTAGTCCTTGAATTACAATCTTTCGGTTTGTGACAGTTCGAAGTTACAGTGAAAACGGCAGTGAAAAAAAGGGACTTATGACCATTTTTCACACTTATGACCATTGCAGCATCCCCAGGCCCACTCGGATGCTTGGAAGCTGGCTCGTATTTATGACAGTTGCAGTGTCCAGGGATCATGTGATCCTCCTTTTACGACGTTCCGACAAGCAAAGTCAATGTGGAAGCCGTTGACTTTACTTGTCGGAAGGTCGCAAAAGGAGATCACGTGACCCTGGGACACGGCGACTGTCGTAAATATGAGTCAGTTGCCGCGTGTCCAAATTTTGATCACCTGACCAGGGGGAGGCTGCCACAGTCTCATAAATGAGAAAAATAGTCCTAAGTCACTTTTGTCAATAATAATAATAATAATAATAATAATAATAATAATAATAATAATAATAATACATGCCAGTTGCTGAGCCTCTGAATTTTGATCATGTGACCATGGGGATGCCCAACAGTGGTAAGCATAAAAAACAGTCATAATCCCTTTTTTCAGTGGCATTGTAACTTTGAATGGTCACTAAACAAATCATTGTTAAGTCAAGGACCTACCTGTCATTGTTCTACTTACCCTGTATGGCTATCGAAAAATAATGATGGTCCCAAGGCACTGACATACATAAAAATATTGACATCAATATCAAAAAAAGAATTCAGTTTATTATATATAGTTTTCGGTTAGCTGTAACAGTCGGTTATTTCTGGATTGCTCTCCTTGGATGGGCTTGCATCTATTTTTGGATAGGAAACTATCATTGCTTAGTTTGTGTGCCAAGGCTTATAGCTAAGATACTATTCCTTGTGAAATGTGAAAGCTTAGCAGAAACACCACAGCTTCTGGAAATTTGTCAAACTTTTCATGGGAAGAACTCTAGAAGGAGAGGATAATCAAAGCAGCCGAGTGATAACTGAGCAGGTTCATTGCCAGCAAACGCAAAATGTTTTCTGGTTGAAAAAATAGAGTAGAATAGCAGGCCCAGGTCATGGTTGACTGGCTGATCGGAACTGGCTGATGGTTGACCGACTGAGCAGCCAATAAAAGCCAATGCACTACTAGGTTGCATTAACAGAGAGACAGAATCAGGATCATACCAAGTTCTAGAACAGTGGTGGTGAACCTATGGCATGGGTGCCAGAGGCAGCACTCAGAGCCCTCCCTGTGGGCACGCGCGTTGTCACCCCGGTCCTAGGC